TGAAAAAGAAATTATTAATAAGAGCGAAATAAATTTAAATGATAAAGTGAACATCAAAGGGTCTGAAAGTTTGCAGATCATTATCTATAATACTACAATCTGATTGGTCTTATTAAGAATATATGTATAATATATTATAATTGTAAATTTTATTTAGATAAATTTTCAAAAAAAAAGGCAATTAATAAAATTGGATATCTTTAAGCTATTTGCATCATACAAACACCAAAATCAATTACTTTTAGATGGTAAAGATTCATCTGAACTAATGGTAGATTCTAAAGATTTCAAATTAGATTCATCGGCAAACCCATGGAAAGATCGAGGTTCAGTAGAATAATTATTAGTCAACACTCTATAATGACCGATATTTCTCGTTGAACCCTCAGAGAAACATACGAGTTTTGATAATTTTGGAAAACTCTGATGTGGACGCCTTTTAGTTATATTTAAGCAAAAACTTCGAGTAAAAACTAAAGCCGTCACGCAACAATTTTTTACGGTGATCATTATTTTAATGCAACACTTCTTAGATCCTGTCTCTATTTATAATAACATTATAAAGTAACACGAACCATAATAGTGCCACAAGGTTGAGTACTGATGATCAAATGAAAGCTCTATTTATGCAGTAACATTACACAAAATTTGTTGATGTCCAAAAAAGTTTTCGCTTCCGGACTTAATTAATTATGCACGAAAATCAAAATTTACTAATGAACCCGCTAACCGATGTACTAGGTAAAGTTGTTCTGATTATAACCTTACAAAATATTAGTTAGCTTGTATTAGACCTGTATTAGTGCTTCGCAGGTTCGAATCTGAATCGTCTAATCGAATTCCGGAAGCTCGGTTACATGAAATAGTAAAATGTTTTGAACATTACTAATCTACTAGTTATTAGGCTATAAGAAAATTGATTGCTCAATATTGAAATATATTCAATGTTAGTTAAATTGCTAGTTAACTAAAAATTTGTTTATTAATAATTAAATAATTTAACCAATTTAATTAAAAGTTTAATTATATAATTTTTTTTTTTATTCTTTTTTTATTTTATTTTAGCAATCCTATCTTTATTTTATTTATTGGCAGCAATTTACAGAGATGTGTTCAGCTAGTTAAATCTACATTATATACTGTTACAAATGGACTGTAGCCTTCAAATATAGCACAAGTAATATAGCATACAACTACATCCCAATATTGTGCCAAACACATTAAATACTAATATTAAATAAGTATTTAACTTTTATATTTATAAAGTATTTAAAATTTTAAGTATTAAATTTTATATTTATTAAATACTTAATTTTTTAATTACTTTATAAATACATTAAATAAGCATATTTTAGTACTAATCCAACCTACTTTATGTTCAATAAATATTTTTTATAAGTGTATATAAAGTGTTTTGACAAACATTGTAATGTACAGAGATCTGTTTTGATAATATAGTAATGTGAAAGTAAAATATAACTTCACTAAGAGCAGTTTATAAAAAGTATATAATTTTTAAAAAAGATATATAGGGTTTTTGCAATAGAAAGGATGGATATTGCCAAAAAATAAAAATTGAGTTTTTGCTATATTTGGATAAATCTTGACATGGATTACATTTTTTAATTATAAATAGAAATAGATTTTTATAATAAAAAATTAAGATATTTAAAAAAAGCTTTTGAAGAGTTTTGTACATCACGAGATTACCTAATTTAAGGGTAGGGTGTACAAA